TCGCTCTCTCTTCCATCCGCTTCCGGCTCGCGGCGTGCCGTCTCGCCCTCTGAGCCTGACATATTCCCACCATATTCCCACCATCAGCCTCGTCTCACGCTCCACATTGTCCCTGCCACCCACAACCCACCTCCAACACACGTCCATCAACCCATGCACACGTCCCACCCGTCACCTGAGCGATGCTGGCCTTTTCCAACTCCGACCGCACAACGCAAGGCGACCCGTCTCCCGACGTGTCCATGCTCACGCAACCGTCCCCGGTCATCGTCGACGACACCGCATCTGCACCCATACCCTGCACCCGATGCCAAGTCATTCCCCATTCCCATGCCGCACCACTCCCCACACCCTCTCACTCTACCACCTCCCACTCACCACCCAACGCTCGCCGTCAACCCAGTGCACTAACCTCCCCGTCCAGCACGCACTGCCTCGCTATGCACCGCGCCACTGATGCTGGACCGCCCCATCGCTCCTCCCCGCATTCCGCCCTTCTCCTCCCCGCCTCGCCCTTCTCGTCTTCGCCTCTCACTGCAACTCCACCGCCGCCGCCTCCGACCACTTCCGCGCTCATTCCCACCAGTGCGCCATCCACCACCCCTTCCGCCGCTCCACCACGCTCGCTCCATGACCGTGATTCCGAATGACGCACTTGCACGCCATTCTCTGCCTTCTCGCCTCCGCCGGCTGCTGCCCCGAAACACGACTCCGGTCCCGAGCTGCAACACGCGTGCCCTCATCATCATTACACTCTTCGCTCACCATCTCACAACTCCTGACCTACTCCGCCAATCCTCCTCAGCACCCGACATCGCCCACCCATCCACCACTCTCACAAACACATGCATACCCCACCATACACCTCACCACGCCCGTTCCCAACCATGCAACAACCTCCAACGCGTCTCATGAACGTGCGCAACTCTCACCCCTGCTCCCCCCCCCCCTCCCCATTGTCCTCAACACCCCCTCCACTCCTCCTCTCTAACTACCCCCGTCGCCCCATCTCATCCCGATCCACTCAATCGCTGCATCCATGATCATGCGCCCTTCACCCTTTCCCCCAGGTTCACTTCCTAATCCTACTCACCTCAGCAGATCGTCCACATCCTCCAGATTCCCGAAGCACGGCTCCCAGCTGTACCCTGGTTTCACAACCTCGCTCGCATACCCGAACAGCGGCAGCTCTTCCTCCGCCTCCTCCGCATCGTATGCCGGGAAGTTGCACCCCGTTGCCAGAATCTCCACATCCTCCTCCGTGTACGGATCCGCCATCAGGACCCCCACGTCCATGCTCCCCATTGAAAACGCCTCGCTCCTCACGCCATCCTTGCCGCTCGTGCCTTCCCGTCCTGCCACACCATTTTCCCAAACCCCTCCCACTCCCTCAGCACGACGCCTTCCCTCGACTGCACCACCTCCACTCCCCCACAATATCCCATCACAACACCCTTCTGCACCACTGCCACGACATGCACCTACTCCTCAGATTTCACACCGCACCCTGCTTTGTCTCTCCACAACAGCCTCTCTGCCCCTCCTCACACACCTCTCTCTCTCTCTCTCTCTCTCTCTCTCTGTCTCCCTCGCTCCCTCTTTCTCTCTCGCTCTTGCGCGCTCTGGATACACTGCGTGACGAGCAGCATCGTGTGGAAAGAACCTGGAAACGTGGTTGGCAAGGTGGAGGTCGGCTGCTGTGCCACACAGGACTTCGACAAGTTGTGGTCTGCCCCACTGAAGAGGTCATTCCACATGACTGGCTTGTAAGGCAGACAGGATTGCAACATCAGGTTCTTCTCCTTACTCCAACACGTGTCCGTTCCTACAGCTCCTCACCCAACCTCCTCAAACGCACCACTTCCCACCCGACTCCGGCGTCGCACTGCAACTCTCCGTTTATTTCAACTTGCGCTACCTTCGGCCTTTCCGTCCGAACGATTGTACACGCTGTCCAAAGTCTTGCTCACAACCCACGAGACCATGTCGAGTTGTAGTGGCCTTGACGTGTGGCGAAATTCACCAGTCGAGGGCAGAGCATGTCACTGCAGAACACGGAAGCGCATGTCAGAGGGAATCAAGGTTTGGGGAGCTTGCAGGAACAATGATCTGTATGGTCTTGTGCAGAATGAGTGACTGCGCAACAAAGCAAACATGAAATGTTCTCAGGCGCATGGTCCATGTGTTTGTGTAAATTGAAGTTGAATGAAACTTTTGATTTAGGAAGAATAATGCGAACGAATATGAGCATCTTGGCCAAGAGTATCTGGTTTTCGTGGATGAGGCGGATGGGTTTTTTGAACTGCGCTAAACTGCAGCTGAAGCTGTCGGAGCCAATACAGTAATGCTCCACCTCGTATGCTTTCTACTTGAAGGGAAGGGTTGACTTTGAGCGATCAGGAATGTGAACTCAAAAAATTGACGCAGGTGTAGCGTAAATGAAAGCCGTTATACCATAAAATTTATTCTTGAGGTGAGAACATTATGGTACTGAATTCTTACAATTCGTGTCGTGTTCAACCTTACATCCCGCACGATGTGGTGGAGGCAAACACCGCTCATGAAATAGTCGATAACTTAGCGATGTGTTGGCCTCCACCTTTCGTGCCTTGGGAATCAGAACAAATCTAGGCCGCAAACCTAGCACGCACATAAGTTGTGAACATTCAAACGTGGAAATGATCTCCCCAAGCATCACTCGTTACCTGTAGCCACCACTGAAATGGACACTTATCTCGTGTGCAAAATCACGCTCAACCTATCATTTTGTCCATCCCATCAATCGGCCACGCTGCAAGTGTTTCTAGGTGAATTACTGCAACCGCACTCAACAGTCACCCCTGATGATCAGAGCCTTGCAGATACTGAGGTATGAAATCTTGTGCTGTACTGAGATGTGCATTAGTAGCCCAACTAACTTCAGCCTGCCTTCTGTCCTGAGCGGTTTTCTAAACGACGAGGTGCCGGGCCTATCGCGGTTCTTTCCCAGTACGATCTTCCTTGTCGTAATCTACCACTGCAATAAGCCATCGTCCAGCGCTCCTTAACTTCTGCTACCACTTCACTGAGACTACATCACTCTCATTCATCATACAACTTGCTCAAACTCCTCCCCTCCCTCCCATCTCGCACGCAAACCTCCTCCTCGCTCCGGCTACAACGTCAACAGTAGCCCACTTAAATAATCCTCTTCCAACGCACTTCCCGCTTTCCGCTGTAGCGGCAAACCTCGCTACCCCTCACGCGAGACCCCTCACGCGAGACCCCTCACGCGAGACCCCTCACGCTGACCCTCGCTCACAGATAATTCTTAAGGCCGATCGCCTGCCATCAGCCACATGCATCCGACATCTCTGACCTTTAAGTCATTCCTAGAAAAGCATCGAACCATCTGCTCGCCACCGGCGCCACTCTCTCACTCAATCACTCCCTCGCTCGCCCGCCTGCCCGCCCCTGAGATCGCTCGCTCAAGTTCGCGCTACGCAGTTGCAGTGGGGCTCGTCGCGCCTCCGCCCCCTTCCCACCATCCCAGCCCTAGATACTTCCGTCGGCCCACGTGGAGACAAAACGCCCCGCCCATCTGAACGCCATCCACAAACCGAGCGCAAAACACGCGCAGTTCAAACCGCGCGTAATACAACCCCCTTTACCCTTACCATCCATCCCCATCCAAGGAACCATGCCCAGGGAGAGGACACGTGGAGAGATCCGTGACGTGGCTGTGTCCACCGTGGCATCCCCCGCTCTGCTGCAGTCAAAGCAGGAGAAGGGGCAAGTGCTCACGATTCCAGCCTAGAACCTATTCCAGCCCCAGGTTCAGGTTATGGCCCAGGAATTGCCACTTGGCACATGCCGCCATTTCTGATGCCAGCCTCGTCAGCAGCCTGCGCTCCATGTCCCCGTCAGCGCGCATTCCTTGATGTCCCTGACAACGCCAGAAAAGCCACTGCTATGGTTGTTCCGAACACTATCTTTGTTGTGGATCATTAATTGTTTCCTCCATTATAACTTTAAATCTTGGTTTGGAAGGCAAAAAGGTTGTGCTGAACCCTTAGCCCACTTCATATTCCACATTTTCAAATTGCTATGAACGAATGCTTATTTGTTTGAAAACACAATTGTGAGTTTTTTGGGTTCTAAGTTAGCAAAGTCTTCTGCCTTTCATGATGGTGATTCTTCATGGTGACCTATTGGTGTCTTGAAATATTGTAGCAAGATTGATCATAGATGTGTTCCTACGATTGGAAATAAACATTTTTGTATAAGTTAGATTTTTACAAAGATGTGTTTATGAAACAATTATTTTGTTAGAGATCCACTGAGTTTTAAGTCTACCTATTCATTGCTTGAAGCCAACAAATCTATATATATATATATATACAGTGACAAACAAAACCGAGTACAAAATCTGAACACTCATAGTTCATTGATCCTTCGAACTGACACATAAGTCAATTGATAGAATTACTTTTTTATTGTGTGTATTCATCCAGTCCTCTACATGGATGAAAAATCTCATTATCATTTGAGGTAGGGTTTATGAGAAAAGTGTTGTAGAAGCACACAGACGTGCGTACTCAGTTTTGGTTGCTTCTTCTTGCTGAATTTCGAAATTTCAATGTACACTCCTTGTTGCAAGATTTGAGGGCATTTTTTGTTTGTTGTGTTGCTCTTGTTGTGTACTATCTATAGTGAAAGTTGATTTGTCAATTGTATCTCTATGCCTCGGTTGTGTGAATCATTGAAGCACCAAGCATTGGTGCCGCTTAGGAGTGGTGTTTCTACAAGAAAAGTTGCAGACTCACTTGGAATAAGTCAGTCTTCAGTAGCTCATCTGAGGAGGGAGATTAGTGGTGAAATAGAAAAGCAAAGAGGAGGACGTCCAAAGGTTTTAGGAGAGCAAGAGAAGCGACTTGGTGTGCACCTTGTCACTGCTAGTTGTCTCAAAACGGCAAGTGCAGCTGCAAAACAACTTTGAGAAAAAACAGGTAAACACTTCTCAGACATCACCTTGAGGCGTGGTTTGAGAGAAGCTGGTTTGGGTGCTTGTGTGCAACAAAAGAAGCCTCTACTTGCCAAAAGACATGTTCTTGCAAGGTTGAGTTTTGCTCACAAATACAAAAATTGGACCATTGATGATTGGAGACGGGTTATTTTCAGTGATGAGACAAAGATTAACCTAATCAACTCAAATGGTAGGTCTTGGTGTTGGTTGAGAGAAGGAGAACGAGCTAGACCTAAACATGTTAGTCAAACTGTCAAACATGGTGGTGGTTCAATTATGATTTGGGGTTGTATGACTACTTTTGGGCCGGATGCTTGGTATCAAATTGAAGGTAGAATGGAGCAACACTTGTACAAAAAAATTTTAGAAACCTACTTGCAAAGTACCACACAGAATTACAACTTAGATCCTACTAAGGTGGTTTTTCAACATGATAATGATCCCAAACATATGGCAAAAAGTGTTCAGTTTTGGCTCTCTTCACAGCCATTTCAAATCCTTCGATGGCCAGCTCAATCTCCAGATTTGAATCCAATGGAACATTTTTGGGCCCTTCTCAAACAGCGTTTAAGCCAAGTCACTCCAAGGCCAAGAGATGGCCAATATATTGGAATTTGCTTTGGGTACCTCAATGCCATCACCTGGTAGTTCAAGGTCATCTCGGACTAGAAGCCAATATATTTGATGATAGAAGTATACATATGTATATATATAGAAGCTTTTATTGCAATAGAAATATTTATAATCTAAATATGATGGTTTTTTTGGCTGTTAGGAGGCATGAATCATAATGAGATTTAGATAAAATAGAGATTTATTTTTTTCTAAATAATGTTTGTGGTACTTCTTTGTCATTATTTAGAAAAAAATAATATTTGTGGTACTTCTTTGTCATTATTTTTTGTAAATAAGTCTTATTCCAATGTTTAACTTAAATGAATTGAAAATAAGTGAATTTAAGAATATAATTTTTTTGGTCCTTTTGAATATGGTTATGTAGAAATTGTGAAATTAGTGGCAAAAGAGAAGAAGAAAATTTGTTGGATTGGTGATAAATGAAGATTATAAATGGTTTACTTTAATTCAATTAGTTTAATTGGGATTCTACTATAAATACAAAAATATTAATATTTTTTGGATAAGTCAGAAGACAATACATTATTTATTTAAAGTAATATATTTGACAAATAGTTGTAATGTTTTGGATTGAAGAGGATTTTAAAATAAATAAAGATGTCAATGTAATTTATTATAAGAAAAAATAGATTTTTTCTATACAAAGATATAATAAATGAAAAAATACTTTTGAAAATATAGATCCAATGAGGTAAATATTTATTTTTTGAAACCATAATTTAGATTAAGTCTTCAAGCAACCAAATGTTACAACAATCCTGTTTTCAAGTATCTTAAGAATATATGAATTCTACATTAGATTTTGGATTTGTGAAAGATATGTATTTAGAGATACAAAAACATAAAATCAAAAATAAAATTTATTGAATTGTTGTTTGTTGGAAGAAAATAATATAAATTAGAGAATTAAGTTTTCAAATTTTAGAACCCATTTCCAGGTCTTAATGTTTTAGTGGGTGTAATTCATAAAACAAGGTGCATATAATAGTATTATTATTTTATTGACTTATTATAAACGACAAAAAATTATATAAGTTGAATATCCTTTAATTAGTTACAATATATTATTATTGTATTGTAAAATTCAAGGTTAATAAAATCTTCAACTAGTACAAAGAGATTAAGCACCATCAAACAACCAACCCAAATTCTTTTTAAGATCAATTACATATTAAGATTGATTGTGGATGTTGCTCTCTCAACATTAACTTTTGCAAGAGGTTTTGACATTGTCCACTTTTTTTGAAAAAACCCATAAACTCTTCAATGAATTAACTCTCTTCTCTACACAAAACACTAATATTCTCGAACTGTCTCCAACTAATCATACTCACCTTCCTCATACCATTTTTCAATACTTTGTATCTATTTATTCAATTATCTATCCATTCTTCACCTTTCATATCCCAATAAGGGGTTTCAAACATGGCGATAAAAATTCAATGGGTAGTAAAATTTGAATCAGGATTTGATATTTTGAATGATCCTGGAAATATCAGGTGCTGAATCCCAATTATTTGGTTTTTGGAAAGTGCTATGTTTGAAACCCCTTATTCAAACAACATAAGCAGCAAACATCACAGACTGGGCAATCAAACAGAACGGAGCTGGATCAGCAATCTCCGAAGAGCAATTCCATTGCAGGCCATTACGGTGGACAACGGAAGCGCCACAGTGTGTGCTGCGAAGGTGGACTGATCAGAGGCGCCGCGACGAATTCAGAGGAAAGCGGGAGTAGCACAGCCAGATGCAGCAGCAACGGCGAGGAAGGCCACCTGGCAACGACGCCCGAGCGAAGGACGCCGCACAGGTGGGTTTAACAGCGACGAGGACGAAGAAGGCGAGCTTGGGACTACGCTAGAATGCCGGGGGAGTCGCCCACGTTGGTGCAGCAGCAGCAATGGCGAGGAGGGGCGAGCTGGCAATGAACCTGGCGAGATAGGGGACGCGTACCGGTGGGTGCAGCAGCGAAGTGCGGCGTTACAGTACAACATTCAAGCAGAGCACTTATGCACTGAATCTGGACTCTGCTACTGTGAAGCGCACTTCACAGTGAACGTTAACTTCGAGAACTCTGATTCAGTTCGAAGTTTCACACTCACTACTGTCGAATGGCCGTCGAGAACCACCAAGGTCTTTGCGATGAATCAAATTTCGGATAGATGTGGAGAAGAGGGAGGCTGGATTGGATGATACTGGCACCCAGCTCGAGTACTGCAAAATCCAGAGGCGAGTGACAGATATCAGGTGTCGCAGCCAGATGCACGTGCTGCCTAGAGTGGTTCTAGTGTGGGTTAAGGGCCCACGGCTGTCTCCCTTCTACGCAGACGTGCTTGGTAATTGGGGTGCTTGAGAACCCTAAGAGTGGAATCATCACACAAATAGGGTTAGGAGAACGCGCGTATTACATGTCACGTCGGTCTGGTCACCAAAGCGTGTAATTCAAACGCAACTGCGAGTCTGTTATGGGAACATCGAAGCCGTGAGTTGATTCAACTAACGATGCAATTATTTGGTCGCTGGGTTATGATTTCTTGATCATGATTGATGTTAACCATGACATAGTGCAATTATGGTGTTTGTGGTTGAATTTGAAGTGGAATCATGGATTGATCAGTGCCAGCATCGTCGTGGGTTATCGGTCCATCAACAACTCATGCCTTGCTGGTACTCATTTTTTTCCATATAAGTGGTCCGATTCCTCAGAAGTTGAATGGAAGTTTACACAGACTTTCACGTGAATCCGTTGGCTCGGCAATTGAAATGGGCTGATAACTAAGGTTGGACTTCAAGTTCATGTCTTCAGGAGTTCAAAAAAAGAAAGTCGTGTAGCCTTCTGCACGTAACGACTCTATTTACGTTGTTAGGTGCAAGCCTGCAGAACATCTCTGTGTAGTGTGATGGTCGCCAACCGAAAGAGTTAGTGATCTTTCCTTGCTGAACGAGGTTTGTAAGAGGTTTTGATATTCTTGCATACTTCCTGCAACTGCTTCCTGAAAGCAGCATCACTAACGTCAGTATTTTGTTACGGTGTGGTCTCTTTTTGAGTGCCGAGCATCTCTCCGGTATGTTAACTCGGCTTTTGTGATAATTCGAGTTTCTGATAATTGAGGAAGTCGTGGTTTTTCTCCATCATCAAGTGCTGCTTTTGAGAATGAGTGACGTCACGGAGGATTTAATGTAAACGTACAAAAATATTTTCTGCAGCGCGAGGAAATGCATCCAACCTGTGCGTAAAAGTAAAGTTTTCACCACGAAGAGATGATAACTCATTGTGATGTTTGACATTTTCCAGTTGAAAACTGAGTTTGATACAGTATTTAAACCTCAAGGACAGATACCGGACTTCTTGGCTGGTCAAAACTATAGCAGAGGCATAAAAAACCCCTGATTTAGGTACAGAGTACTAGTTGAAATTGAATAGCATTAGAGTGACTAGTGACAAAAGTATTGTTTGCTGATCATTATTCTCCTGCTTCGCGTAATGCCCAAGATCTCATTATGGTTATAGAGATGATACTTTTGCTTCGAGGAAACTGCTAAACAACGCGCACGTTTTGTTATTGCAGATACTGTACGTCCACATACTGTACGATCATGGTACGAGGAGACACTATACGAGCAGGTACACTGCCGCATGAACATGCACTTATAGCGGACACAGAGAGCACCATTATTTATGTTCCCAACTCCTCCTGCGTCCTTTGTGTTCATCACCAAGCATATTTCGTTATTTGTTGTTTGTCTTGGGAGCCTGGCGCCGCTGTTGTGCAAGGGAGTTGAAGAACTTTATCCGATCAGTCGGTAGATAAGTTGATCAATGAGTACCTGAATCGTTCAAATGTAGACTCCATTTAGCATTAGTTTTAGAATACAACGGTTGAAAATTTTGAGACTCTCCTCAATATAGTGCTATGGTCACAATCGGTATGACAACTTTGTTCATAGGTGGGCCACGTAGGTAACACGAATAGTGGACTGAGTTTGTTATAAATGGGACAAGACACTTGAATCAATCCCCAAAGTTCAAACTCTTTTCGAAAAGTAGGTTCCTGGTCTTCACGCTCCATTGAGGGAGTAGAAACAGATACCTTGACTTCAAAGGTGGCATCTCAGTAGACCTGTCTCTTTCAAAGACCTCTTCGGAGCGTAAAGCTTCAGAGTCAAAGGTTGGAACTTAAACTCTCTGTGTTCTAACTGATTTGGATCCTGTAATTGAGGATGTATCTCTTTTTTGTACCTCACACAAGATTTGTGATATCTAAGATCGAGCTGTCATACTTAGTACATGGATAAGTTCAGAATTCTCTCTGGTTTTTTCATGCAAAGACTACTTTACTCCTGTGGTCCAAAAGTTACGTAGGTAGGTTTTCAAGGCTTCAGTGTTGAAAAAGAAGCGGGACAAGCAGTTGTACAGGAACCTCACAGAACTTTTTCCTTGCCTGCGAAAACCCAATTCTTTTGAACTATCCTCACACAAGATGACATTGTTACTGGTGTTTCCTACATCTGATAGAAAGCGTAGTTTTGGCACACGTTGGCATCACGGAGATAGAGATTGTTGTTCAGCTTCCAAGTCGTTTTGGTGTGTATCCTGAGAAGTTGGAAAAGTCTTCATCCAGGAGAGGCACTTGCTCAGGTTCCCTGGATTCCCAGTTATCCACGATGCCTTGTTTACTCTACATTTTGGTCTCTAAGGCAGCTTCATCACGAACGTTGTTGTGATTGTCGCATTTCAATATTGAGGATCTATAAAACGATCTAAAGCACATAATACCGAAACTGTTATTAAGGATCCTGTCTTTTGTATTAGCAGCGCTTGTCTGCATCCGAAAAGATCTGGGCCCGTGCCATTGTTGCAGTAATTGAGCTGGTGGTAATATTCTCACGTGTCGTGAGTTTAACGAATTGGAGATTCTCCGAGTATAGAAACAGATCAGCTCAGGTACATCATTTTGAAAGCGGTAGAAAACACCAAAGAGTGAACACGGTTCGGTGACCAACAATTCCACTCATCCACAGCTGATCCATGAAGTCACCCAGTTACCAACTTATATCCTTTAACTCCAAATCCTTCAAACTAAGAGAGCCGTCGTGCACCTATGCACAGGACTTTCAGTGCAGACACGCATTTCCCAGCTTACCAGCAGCTTGATGCTAAACCGCAACACCACAATTGTATTATAGTCCTAGATCGACTGAACTTCCAGCTGAGCACATCGAACGCGGTGCCTTCATCTCTACGCTGGTGCTGGAAGTGCCTCGAGATGATAATAATCGCAACACCCACATCAGTAATCGAACAGCGTCAAAAACCTCCGCGGATTCCGCAGTAGCGGTTTCATACCTAGAAACTATCTATCACGTTCTCCAATGAGATGGCGAGCAAAGCCAAAGACAGCCACGAGGACAAAGCAGAGCGAGAACACGCTGCACAAGACAAGTGGCTACATTCTGTCCACAAGCTGCAGTTGGTTAAACATTCGCCCCTAATCACGCCTATGGGCTTATAGATCGAAGACCGTGGGGAACAGGCTCCCCTTATTTCCGTGGAACGGTTATAGGGACTTAAATAAGTGTCGGGAATAGGCCTCCAGGGGATGGCTATGGATAGGCATGCAGGTCACGGTCAAAGACCTCTTTAGTGGTGTCCGATCGTCACGTGTGGGATGGGTCCTGTCAGCTTGCGGATGGCGTGAATGATATATGGATGCAATTTGTGCCATGTTAAGGGTGGATGGATGAAAATATCCATCGAAGGGGAATCTGTGATTTAACCTTAGTTCTGGTACTTACGAAGCAACACTTTCCATAGTTAATGCCAACCTCACGAATGTTGCAATTAGATGCCTTCACATTAAAAGGTATGATTTTTATTAGGATTCGTTACTCGTATATATTTATATATATATGGTTTCGCACACAAATGTTACTCGTCTGAGTCTTTAAAATATCGGTCCATTTGAAACTAACCCATCTATAAATTAGTAAAAAGATTGAACCTTCAAATAATATTACTGCTGGTTATAATCAAGTTTTAACTCTTGAACCACCATAGTTGAGAATTTTAGCTACAACTAACATCATCAAGGTTCGAATACCACAATTTTTAATTACCATGCCATTATTCGTTTTACGAAAAGAAATTAAATATGATCTTTCACAGCACCAACAATATTAATCTTTTTCATTTTGTATTTTTTTTCCTACTTATGTTTGTAATGTTGAAGGTTTAAAGAAAGTTTGATGTGTTATTGAATAATAATGAACTGATTAGGTGCCTGATTCTGAAATTTAGTGAGTGTGTGTAAAACATTGTCAAATTCCATTCAGAAAATAAAAATAGAACAACATAATTTTTTTTTACAAAAAGAAGAAGAAGAAAAAACCTGAATATTTCATTGTTCAAGTGACAAGAATTTTACATTGATAAATATAAACACTAAAAAATATCTTGTTTGTATTTTAATGTGTTGTATTGTATAATGATTGATGTTAAATAAACGTGGATATATATATATATATATATATATTGAAACTTTTTATAACAAAAACATTAAATTTTTCGTTGTGTCAAAAGAAGAGTTCAGAAAAGGAATTCTTGTATTTATACAGAACAAAAATGATTATTTATTTATTTTTGGCTTCACAAAAATTAAAAAATAAGAATTAAAAAAAATACTGAATGAAATTTCTTCTATTTTATCAGCAACTTAAAAAAAACAGAAATTCTATAAAATCACTTACAATTTTTGTAATTGCTTCACAATACTACAGTACAGTTCAGTAAAATTCTTGGAATAGGTTCCACCATTCTGCAAAAACATAAGTCCTCAATAAAATTCAGTTCACCATATATATTATCGTTCATTATTGTAGCAATTGATTCTCAACTCATAATAATACTAATAATATTAATAAAAATAATAAAACCAGGATGACAGAGTTCACCAGATGAAGGGAACACCAAGCCAAATACACACACAAACCACAACATTCTCTTGTATGTGATAACAGAGAACCAGTTCAAGCAGGGTCGCATGTACAGCCAGAGGAATTATAATAAATAAACACAAACTCTACCTAAAATCCAGTTGGTTAGTGAATTAGTAAGTTATCACCTACAGTGAGTAAGTGAGTAAGAAAGTACCGCAAGTATATTTGTGCTCGCAGGAGCGAAAGGAGGAAGAGTGTTGGACGGGCATCGCGCGAGAGCTCGACGACTGGTGGCCTCGCAGCGAAGGTCGCTTTGTCGCGGAGCGAGAGAGTGTGGGCGCGCGCGACACAGCGAGCGATGGCAGGGTCGAGGCAGGGCCAAGGCAGGGTACGTGAGGGCAAGGGCGAGGTGATAGAGCAGGTCTCATGAAGCGTACACCTGTGGACACAGCCATGGTCACTTGTCATGTGGTGGTACAAGGTTGGGAGCGTCAAGCACTGGCTTGATGCAGTGGCGGAATTCTACGAGGAGGATCGCTCTTGGCACCACGTTCCTCAGACCCTCGTAGTTTAAGAAACTGTTTCTGGAACCAGTTCGTTTCGTTAAGCTCAGATCGCGTAGCCGTCGTCTTCTCTCCATGACGGAAAGAAATTTGTGAATAGGTTAAGTTCACTACAGTTGCAGCTTCAGTTGCGATGAGCGTAGTGAGGTTGATTGGTTTTGACGGCGCCGCGAGAGGTTTGGTGTGGTTTTTGCTCAAGGTACGTGTCCTCCTCCGTATATGTGATGGCGGAACAGAATGCACACTGCACCGAGGCTGCTTGATATTGTCATGAGTGGTTGATGTTTTCAAGAGCCTCTGTGGCTTGGACTGCTAGGAGGAAACCAACAGATTAAGAACTGATGTTCAATTCTACTCAAGTCTGGAGTGACGATTGTCCACTTCCGTGCAACACAACGACCGAGGGTTCTTCTGTCATTGCAGACTCTTGGATCACCTCCCTGATTTTTTTTACAAATGTCAAACAAAAAAGGCAACGAGAAGCATTCATATTATCTATTGTGCGTTTGCATTTGAAAGATACATACCCACATCTACTTGAAACCTTGGGACAATCTTAGACTAGCTTGTGTTACTTTCAGAGTGTTGTCGTAAAAGAACATGTTTCATTCGACTTCATTTTGAATAAACACGTAGACCATGCGCCTGAGAACATTTCATGTTTGCTTTGTTGCGCAGTCACTCATTCTGCACAAGACCATACAGATCATTGTTCCTGCAAGCTCCCCAAACCTTGATTCCCTCTGACATGCGCTTCCGTGTTCTGCAGTGACATGCTCTGCCCTCGACTGGTGAATTTCGCCACACGTCAAGGCCACTACAACTCGACATGCTCTCGTGGGTTGTGAGCAAGACTTTGGACAGCGTGTACAATCGTTCGGACGGAAAGGCCGAAGGTAGCGCAAGTTGAAATAAACGGAGAGTTGCAGTGCGACGCCGGAGTCGGGTGGGAAGTGGTGCGTTTGAGGAGGTTGGGTGAGGAGCTGTAGGAACGGACACGTGTTGGAGTAAGGAGAAGAACCTGATGTTGCAATCCTGTCTGCCTTACAAGCCAGTCATGTGGAATGACCTCTTCAGTGGGGCAGACCACAACTTGTCGAAGTCCTGTGTGGCACAGCAGCCGACCTCCACCTTGCCAACCACGTTTCCAGGTTCTTTCCACACGATGCTGCTCGTCACGCAGTGTATCCAGAGCGCGCAAGAGCGAGAGAGAAAGAGGGAGCGAGGGAGACAGAGAGAGAGAGAGAGAGAGAGAGAGAGAGGTGTGTGAGGAGGGGCAGAGAGGCTGTTGTGGAGAGACAAAGCAGGGTGCGGTGTGAAATCTGAGGAGTAGGTGCATGTCGTGGCAGTGGTGCAGAAGGGTGTTGTGATGGGATATTGTGGGGGAGTGGAGGTGGTGCAGTCGAGGGAAGGCGTCGTGCTGAGGGAGTGGGAGGGGTTTGGGAAAATGGTGTGGCAGGACGGGAAGGCACGAGCGGCAAGGATGGCGTGAGGAGCGAGGCGTTTTCAATGGGGAGCATGGACGTGGGGGTCCTGATGGCGGATCCGTACACGGAGGAGGATGTGGAGATTCTGGCAACGGGGTGCAACTTCCCGGCATACGATGCGGAGGAGGCGGAGGAAGAGCTGCCGCTGTTCGGGTATGCGAGCGAGGTTGTGAAACCAGGGTACAGCTGGGAGCCGTGCTTCGGGAATCTGGAGGATGTGGACGATCTGCTGAGGTGAGTAGGATTAGGAAGTGAACCTGGGGGAAAGGGTGAAGGGCGCATGATCATGGATGCAGCGATTGAGTGGATCGGGATGAGATGGGGCGACGGGGGTAGTTAGAGAGGAGGAGTGGAGGGGGTGTTGAGGACAATGGGGAGGGGGGGGGGGGGAGCAGGGGTGAGAGTTGCGCACGTTCATGAGACGCGTTGGAGGTTGTTGCATGGTTGGGAACGGGCGTGGTGAGGTGTATGGTGGGGTATGCATGTGTTTGTGAGAGTGGTGGATGGGTGGGCGATGTCGGGTGCTGAGGAGGATTGGCGGAGTAGGTCAGGAGTTGTGAGATGGTGAGCGAAGAGTGTAATGATGATGAGGGCACGCGTGTTGCAGCTCGGGACCGGAGTCGTGTTTCGGGGCAGCAGCCGGCGGAGGCGAGAAGGCAGAGAATGGCGTGCAAGTGCGTCATTCGGAATCACGGTCATGGAGCGAGCGTGGTGGAGCGGCGGAAGGGGTGGTGGATGGCGCACTGGTGGGAATGAGCGCGGAAGTGGTCGGAGGCGGCGGCGGTGGAGTTGCAGTGAGAGGCGAAGACGAGAAGGGCGAGGCGGGGAGGAGAAGGGCGGAATGCGGGGAGGAGCGATGGGGCGGTCCAGCATCAGTGGCGCGGTGCATAGCGAGGCAGTGCGTGCTGGACGGGGAGGTTAGTGCACTGGGTTGACGGCGAGCGTTGGGTGGTGAGTGGGAGGTGGTAGAGTGAGAGGGTGTGGGGAGTGGTGCGGCATGGGAATGGGGAATGACTTGGCATCGGGTGCAGGGTATGGGTGCAGATGCGGTGTCGTCGACGATGACCGGGGACGGTTGCGTGAGCATGGACACGTCGGGAGACGGGTCGCCTTGCGTTGTGCGGTCGGAGTTGGAAAAGGCCAGCATCGCTCAGGTGACGGGTGGGACGTGTGCATGGGTTGATGGACGTGTGTTGGAGGTGGGTTGTGGGTGGCAGGGACAATGTGGAGCGTGAGACGAGGCTGATGGTGGGAATATGGTGGGAATATGTCAGGCTCAGAGGGCGAGACGGCACGCCGCGAGCCGGAAGCGGATGGAAGAGAGAGCGAGGCGGCAGGTGTGCCAGCGGAAGGCGTTGCAGGGGACAGGTCGGTGGGGGAGTTTTCAGGCAGCACAAGCGCACATGCTGCAAGCGATGCCAGGGCCGTTGATTCCACAGGCGGCGCGGCTGAGCGCGCCATCGCTGGCGGCGATTCATGGGTACGCAGCTCCGCGGTCGAAGCTGTCACCGATGCAGTCGGCGATGAGGCCCGGGCCTCCATTCATGCAGGGGGGGTATGGTCCGGTGGGGGCGATCCGTCAGTTTCAGGCGGCGGCGCCCGCGGCGCAGATGCAGTTCGTGGGGTACCAGCCACCGTCTCCGTTCCAACCCGCGATGGGGGTGCCGCATCCGGAGTTCCGGCTGCGGGTACCGGTGGATTCGAGGAGTCGTGCATCGGGTGGGAGCAGCGGGGACATGACGAGGGAGGAGAAGGTGGAGAAACTGCGGTACTTGCGGGGGATGCAGACCGGACGGGTGGCGGTGGAACCGCACCATTCGGGGATGGAGTCA